GGGCGGAGGGAGCTCCCTCCGCCCCTAGGGGCGGGAGGTGATGGGTCGGTGGGCGAGACAGAATTGGCGGGTGGGCGAGTAGGTGGATGGGTGGGCGGGGTCGGCAAGGGAGAGGGGGAGGGATGGAGGGGACACGGAGTAAGATGAGGAAGGGGGGGGGGGGGGGTGGGGGGGGGGTGGGGTGGGGGGGGGGGGGGGGGGGGGGGGGTGGGGGGGGTGGGGGAGGGGGGGAGGGGTGGGGGTGGGGGTGGGGTGGGGGTCGGGGGGGGGGGGGGTGGGGGGGGGGGGTGGGGGGGGGGGGGGGGGGGGGGGCGGGGGTGGGGGTGGAAGGAGGATTGGGGGGGGAGGAGGAGGATGAGGAGGGAGGAGGAGGAGGAGGAGGAGGAACAAGAGGAGGAGGAGTTCCTGCTCCTGCTTGGAGTCGATTGCCGATGGCTTCGTCTTGTTGCTGATCTTTTTCTTGGGCGAGGGCAAGGGCGCCTCTCGGACGGATCGCGGGACGGCGGCGACGCATCCCTGCTTGGTTTCACATCCTCGACTTTGCACTGCTCCTCATCCTCCTTCCATTGCCATCCTGAATGCCCTCCTCCAGATCCTCCATATCCTCTGCCAGCGTCGACGCCTTGCTAATTCATGCCATCCTGCCCGTCTTCCCCCTCCCCCTATTTCTCTACCCGATCAGCCTGTCTTGAAGGGAACACCTGGAACGCAATGCTTCCCTTCCTCCTCCTCCACCTCCCTTCTCCTCCTCCTCCCCCCCTAGCCCTCTCCCCAATCTGGTTTTCAAATTCTACTTCTCGTCGCACCCTCCTCTCCATCCTTCCTGCCATACATTGTCATCTCGTATCTCTCTCGTCCCCGTCGCCCGCCCGCGCCCGACATCCCACCTCCCGATCCTCACCAACAATCCGACTCCTCGTGCCACAACTCCCCCAGGCCCGAACGTGCGCGGCCTGTGTGCCAGGATCATCCTCGGCAGGGTCAGGCTCCTCCTCGGAAGGCTCAGGCGGGTTCTGCTTCACCTGGGCTGGCAGGTATCTTTCCTCATGTCTCTGTCGCGCTCTTCCTCTCTCTCTCTATCCCTCTCTCTCTCTCTCTCCATCTCTCTCTCTCTCTCTCTCTCTCTCTTTCTCTCTCTCTCTCTCTCTCTCTCTCTCTCTCTCTCTCTCTCTCTTCAGTTCTCTCTCCTAGTTTCCTCACCTCGTCCTCTCTCACCTGCGGCGCCTCACCTCCAACCTGGAAGCTTTGGGGTTCGGACTGGGGGGGGGTAAGAAAGGAGAAGACAGAGTTTCAAAAAAACAAAAAAAAAAATAAAAAAAAAGCTTGGGAGAAGCGCTTCAGTCTACGTGTCTCGAGTTAGATTTCCTGTTGAACCTATTTTGCCAAAAAGTTCTGGACTTCCGAAGACGTTCTGCCCCTGGACTTCCAAAAATGGTTCTGAGTCAAGCACGGGTGGGGAAGTGATTACAAGTAATCCGACAACCCTCTTGGCCGCTGGCTTGCTGACTGCTGCAGGGCGCTTGCCGACGAACGCGGGCTGACTGCTGCTCGAGCTGGCAGCTGTGTTCTCCTCTGGGCTCTTGCACGCCTTCCTGCTCGTGCTCTTGCCGGCCTCCTTCTCGTTCGGCGTGTCGTCGTCTGAGTCGTCGGGGCAACCCTGCCCATCAGCATCATCCTCGTCAGAGTCGTCCTCGCCGTCGTCGCTGCCCTCGTCACCAGCGTCCTTGCTCATGAGCTTTGCCGCGCCCTCGCCGTTGCTGCTGCTCCCGTCCTCGTCCTCGTCCTTCGGTTTCTCCTTCTTTGCCTTCTGCTTGGCTGCTGGCTTCTTTGCCACGGGTCCGCCCTCCTTCTTTTGCTCGGCTCGTCTGGCAGTAATGTGCTTCGCCTTCTCCGCATTGAGCTGGTCCCTGTCGAGCTTGCCAGCCACGAATTTTCGTGCCATTTCTGTGCAAACTCGCTCGTCATCGCTTGCCTTATCATGAATCACCACAGGCATATTCATGATCATCTTTCCGTTGTGCTTGCCTGTGCTCGTGTCGTCGTGCATGAAGATTGCAACGAACTTCTGCTGGCCCTGCTTTCTGTCGTAGCGGTTGCAGATTACCTCATCGGCAACGCATGGAAATGCTTTTCTCGTGGGGCCCTCAAGGGGCACTTCCTTAACATGTGTATGCAGCTGTTCCCCCTCAACTGATCCTGAAGCTTCGATTTCAGAGCAAACCATGTGCCTTGGGGGTTGAACCAGGAACCCAAAACAATGGCGTGTTGTTGTAGCTTATACATGTGACCTTGTAGCCACCCTTCTCGCCCTTCCAGAAGACGTTCGGGCTGTCGCGGCCCTTCTTGGCGCAGGCCTCGAGCTCTTCGAAGTCGCCCCAAGTGACGCCTCTGCGAGGAAATTCGCCCCCCCCCCCGCCCTTCCAGGCGTTTTCGAAGTTAACTTCTCCCCCGCCTTCCATTGGCAGGCGAATCAGCTGCTGATTCGCCTGCCAATGAAGGTGTCTCAGAATCAGCTCACTGAGGTTTCCAAAAACTCCTATTCGTTATGCTCCTTGTTTTCTTCCTCTACCTCCTTTCCTTCCTCCCTCTCCTTTCTGCTCCTTTCTACTTCTCCCTCCTCCTCCTCCGACCTGTTTGGCCTGATCGACCTCATCCTTTCGCACTCCTCCTATTATTAAGTGAGCCTGTGATCTCGTACTGGGACCCGTCCCTGAAGTGCGCCACCGCGGTATCGTCACGCTCGTAGTTCTTGGGCAACTTCAGGGGCAACGAATACTCGGGCTTCGCCTTGCCCCGCGTGCGGTAGGCGGCCTGGGACTGGCAAATTTCACTGGGATATCCCAGTGAAATTCGCCATTTGAATTGTGCGGCCACTCCCCGTGGCAACGGAGAGTCCCCAGTGAATTTGGAAGGGCCCGAGGTTGATTTTATACAGGTGTTCATTACATTTTCGGGGGGGGGGGGGGGGGGGGGATCGCGAGAGATTGCGGTGAGTTCGCGGTGAGTTCGACGATGGCCGAACTCACCGATGGGCTTGAACCAACTCGGATTCTTCCAATCCAAGATAGACAAGAGATAGCTTTTGAGAGGGGGAGCACGAGGAGGAGGAGGAGAAGGAGGAGGAGGAGGGGGAGGGCGCTGAGGAGGATGAGAAAGAGGAGGAGAGTGATGGGGAGGATGATGAGGACGAGGGCAAGGAGGAGGAGAAGGAGGAAGAGGAGGAGGAGGCGGAGAAGGAATAGGAGGAGTGGGAGAGAAGGAGGAGGAGGAGGAGATGAGGAGGAGGAGGAGGAGGGAGGCGGGGAGAAGGGAATAAGTGAGGGAGAGAGGGCGGGCGAACCCTCGTTAGATTGGAATTCCCCTCCCAGACCCCCAACTCATAGACCCCCAACTCGTAGGACTCCCGCCTTCATGGTCTCGTCCCACGCGTAGGTCCACTCCTTCTCCTCGGTCCCCTTCGCCTGGGCAATGGGCGACGGTGCGGAGGAGTGGGAATGGGGGGGAGGGGCGACGGCTTGGTCAGGAACATTGAAAGGGAATGACAAGAGCGGAGGGCACGAAATATTTGTAGTTTGTGGGAAGAGGAGGAGAGAGCAGAGGAGCACATGCATGTGTTGATGGAGTGGCCCGTTGCCCGCAGGCTGATGTGACGGCGCCCCGCGAGCTTAGGTAGAGGGCGCTACCGTTAGGCCCTATAGGGCCACCTCTTGAAGTATATCCCCTTGATTTCGTCAACCGCCGCCACTCACCCCTAGCCTAAATCCCAACAGTTTGTTGACCCGTTTCGCCAATCGTTCAGCATCCACGTACTGCTTGAGCCACTCTGGAGTCGGTTTGTCCCTAACTTTAAGAAGAGATTGGTCGACGTGTCGTAATTGGGCCCTGATCATCTTTGCTTTTTGTTTCGCCCATGTTTTTTTCGAATCCGAAAGGCCCCACGATGCTTCTTTGTTGCTGGCTAATTGCAGCAACACTGCTTCCAACGGCTTCTGAACCAGGGGGCCATGGGGGACCACGATACGCGTCCGAAAAGCAAGCAACATCGCTGAGGCCTTCCTCAACTTTCCGAAGTCTGGCTGCTCCTCCATATCTGTAGTATAGTTGAAGGCGTCGGGCGTCCCCAGGAATTCGGTCACGATTTCCATGGCAGCAGCGCCTGACGTGAGGACCCCCTCAGAAAACGATTCAAGAAGCGTTTGATCAAGGGCGGGGATCGGAGAGAGACGGATGATGGTTTGAGTTTCAAGTGTAGGAGGAAAAGATGCGGAAGAGGGAAACTGAAGAGGTGAAGAAGGATGAGGGGCAGTGGATTGGGGTCCAAACGTCGCTCTATCTCCAAGTACTTCCTCTTCAGCATTCGCTCTTTCCTCCCCTCAGGGGGACGAGATTAATCTCGTCCCCCTGAGGGGAGGAAAGAGCGAATGCTGAAGAGGCTCTGCTCCTCCTTCCACTACATTTCGTCATCATCCTCCTCTCTGTTCTCGCCCTTCTCCCTCTCCTTTTCCTCCTCCTCCTCCTTCTCCTCCCTCTCCTTTTCCTCCTTCTCGTCCTCCTCCTTCTCCTCCTCTAACTCCTGCTTGTCCTCCTCCTCCTCCTCCAAAGTATGCTCTTTCTCTTTCATATTTTTCAAATTCTTCCTCTTCCTCCTTCGCCTTATCCTAAAGTTTAAACGCCGCCTTCACCCTCCCTGGCTTTCCGCCTGGGTCCCAGCATCGGCGGCGGCTCGCCATGGCCGCTGCCGCGGCCTGCGCGCATATGCGCGCACAGCCGCCTGAGCCGTGGAGCTCTCGGAGAAATGGCGGAGGGGGGATCGCCTGCCTCCTCCTCCTCCTCCTCCTCCTCCTCCTCCTCCTCCTCCTCCTCTCCTCCTCCCCCCTCCTTCTACTCCTTCTCCTCCTCCCCTCCACTCTGTGTTTCCTCTTCTTTTCTTTGTCGTTCTCCTCTTCCTTATCCTCCATCGTCTCTCTTGCTCGTCGTCGTTATCTCCCTCCTCATGATGTCTGCTCTCTTCCGCGTGCTGTCACCGCAATTCGATCACTCTTTGGCCATGCAATGTACACAAGAGAAAAACAGAAGAGAAGCACGCGCGAGACATTGAAACATTCAAAAACATATGTCGTAACATTGTAGATTGACAAGATATGTTATCAAATATGTTCAAACATACAGAAAAGAAGCGTTGCGATCTTATAATAAGATCGCGATCTTATAATAAGAACACGATCTTAATATCATAATTTGAACATGCATATGTGTCACCGGTCTTAAAACAAGATCTATCAGACCTCAGGGCGCCGAGCTCCCCGAGCACCGCCGCCGCCGCCCGGCGCACCTCCGAATCGGCGTCGCCCAGCAGCGCCTCCAGGAGCCCGGGCGCGGCCTCCGCGGCGCCGAGCTTCCCGAGCGCCCTCGCCGCCGCCAGGCGCACAGACGAATCGGCGTCGCCCCGCAGCGCCTCCAGGAGCCCGGGCGCGGCCTCCGCGGCGCCGAGGCTCCCGAGCGCCGCCGCCGCCGCCCGGCGCACCTCCGAATCGGCGTCGCCCCGCAGCGCCTCCAGGAGCCCGGGCGCGGCCTCCGCGGCGCCGAGCTTCACGAGCGCCCTCGCCGCCGCCAGGCGCACAGACGAATCGGCGTCGCCCCGCAGCGCCTCCAGGAGCCCGGGCGCGGCCTCCGCGGCGCCGAGGCTCCCGAGCGCCGCCGCCGCCGCCCGGCGCACCTCCGAATCGGCGTCGCCCCGCAGCGCCTCCAGGAGCCCGGGCGCGGCCTCCGCGGCGCCGAGCTTCAAGAGCGCCCTCGCCGCCGCCAGGCGCGCACACGAATCGGCGTCGCCCCGCAGCGCCTCCAGGAGCCCGGGCGCGGCCTCCGCGGCGCCGAGCTTCCCGAGCGCCTCCGCCGCCGACCGGCGCAGCTCCGAATCGGCGTCGCCCCGCAGCGCCTCCAGGAGCACGGGCGCGGCCTCCGCGGCGCCGAGCTCCTCGAACGCCTCCGCCGCCAAGTGGCGCGCATGCTCATCGGCGTCGCCCCGCATCGCCTCCAGGAGCCTCGGCACGGCCTCCGCGGCGCCGAGCTTCACGAGCGCCCTCGCCGCCGCCAGGCGCACATCCGGGAGCCGGAGCCTGGGGCCCAAATTGTAGAGGTCTGGTGGATAGGGGCCCCCCCAGAGGCGCCGTGGGTCAAAATCGGCGTCGCCCCGCAGCGCCTCCAGGAGCCCGGGCGCGGCCTCCGCGGCGCCGAGCTCCCCGAGCGCCTCCGCCGCCGCCTGGCGCACCTTCGAATCGGCGTCGCCCCGCAGCGCCTCCAGGAGCCCGGGCACGGCCTCCGCGTCGCCGAGCTCCCCGAGCGCCCTCGCCGCGCGCTCGCGCTCTCCCCACTCCTTAACCCTAAGTATCCCAAATTCGTTATATCGGTCGTCGCCCCGCAGCGCCTGCAGATGATTCTGCAAACACACCGTGTCGCCCCGTGCCGCCGAAGCCGCCCTGGGGGCAGCCCGCGCGCCGGTCGGCCCGTCGGCCCGCCAAGGACAGGACAGGGGAGCGCCCATCAGCCCACCGAGGACAGGGGGGGCGCCTTCGGCTACAGCGGCTGCGGAGGGGGGGGCCCAGACCCCTCAGGCCTTGAGCAGCTCGAGGCGGAAGTGCTGCGCAGTCTGCGGGCCTGGGGCCCCGCAGGAAACGACTCGGGAGGGAGAGCTGGCCCAGGAGAGCAGGTCCAGACCTCTGGGGGCCCCATGTCGACCCAGGCGTGCGACGCCCTGCTTGTTCCCAGGGCGGCGTCCCCGGAAGTCCTTGTTTGACGGTCCCAGGGCCCGGCGAGGGTCTCCAGGAGCCAGCAACAGCGAACAACACCCCGGCCCTGATCTTTTTACGGCACGATCACGTCTGGGGAGCGCAGCCCACCTGGAGAGGCCCCAAGAACCTGGCGCTGCACTTGTTGTCACAACGGGCGATTTTTTGGTCGCCCCGCTGCGGGCCCCAGGCGCCTCGCAGAACGATCAATCGCTCGACGCATTGCGCAGGGCTCTGGTCGTGATTTGTTGTGCGATGCTGCATTGTCATTTGCAACGTCGGATCTCAGGGGGGAGAAGGGAGATGGGAGGCAGGAGAGCGATGGGGGGAGGGGGGGAGGGGGGGAGGGAACGAATTCTGCAATTCCTCCTCCTGCTCCTCGTCCTCCTTCTCCTCGTCATCCTCATCGTCCTGACTTTTCACGATTCAGCGTGCATCCGTTATCTTCCTCATTTCCTCGTGTATAATCAAGACCCTTAGCAGGCTCCTCCTAACAATCCTCTGCCTTCTCCTTCTCCATTATCATTCTCCTCATCATCATCCTACTTTCCCTCCGCCTCCTCCACCACCACCACCTCCTCCTGTTCCTGCTCCTCCTCCTCCACCTCCATCGTCCTCCTCTTCTTGCGGCTCCGTTTCCTCTTGCTCATGGTCATGCTCCTCCACATCACCCGACTCGCGACGCTGATTCCCTTCACCAATGCGGATAACGATGGACGCACTTATTCATGCTGGCAGCTGACAGGGTGGGCCCAACCAACGACTGATCATTTCGATCGTGCGCAAACGATGGGCGAACATTGGAGGGAGACCAAGAGGGAGGATGAATGAGGGGAGGGATGATATAAGGGAGGGATGATTGCAAAACGGAGGACCAAGGAGGAAGGAGAAGAAGGATGGAGATAGTCGAAGTGGTGTTGGGAGGAGGGAAGATGGGGCGACTTGAAAGGTCCCCGATGTCGTCCCCAGTTTCTCAACGTTTCTCTCAAGCTTTCCAGGGGAGGAAGACGAGGAGGAAGACGAGAAGAAATACGTGGAGGAAGAATGACGAGGAGGCGGAACATGATGTGGAGGATGCAGAAGATGGAAGGCGAGCAGAAGAAGCACTAGGGTCCTCGCCCCCCCGCGCGAGCGGCGGAAACCGTGACGGCAAATTTCTTAGCAGAGCCGGCGGCGGATCCCAAGGGTATTGCCCCAGCGTGCTGGGTTTCCACATTGCCTGGGTGCCAACCCAGCCACCGAAAATGTCGGCTAGGCAAAGTCGGCGGCACCCCCTCGCATGGGCCACACGTGGTGGACAGAATGAGAGGGTAGACTTGCTTTCTCGAGCCCATACGGCTACGGAAAGCAAGACCATCGCCGTGAGACAATCCGTCCGCAAGCACACATCCACGACACCCCTGAGACACCCGGACAGCTTTTCATGGAAGCCTCCCGGGCAGGCCTGGGCCCACGTCCTTGGAAAGGCTTTTGGGACCAATGGATAAATCCAGACATCCGATGCCGTGAAGTTCTCGATGCGGGAACCCCAGAACAAGGTCTGGACCTTTTCCCCGGTGCCAGCTCGTCATGACGGTCCCGGGGCCCGGCGACGACCCCTGGAGGCCGATGGCGGAGAAGAACCTCCGCGTCGAGCTTCTTGAGACGTTGGAGGTCTGGCGTTTGGGGGCCTTATCTCGACTCCCCGGCGGCCGCTCGGGACGATCCGGCCCCCCAGCACGCCCCTGGCGAGGCGCAGCGCCTGAGAGGCACCCCGAGGCTGGAAAACCGCCGAGAACCGACGAACACGCCCTCCGACCTCGAACCTCGAGGACATCGAGAACCTCGAACGCCGCGAGCCGAGGCCCCTCGGACCCAAACTGTTTGGGCGCCGGAGAGGGATGCGCAGAAAGGGGTGTGGCGGACATGGTGATGTCATCGACGATAGCTTCCATCGCCAGATTCAATAATGGCACGACGCCCCTTTACACCACACCCCTTCTGAGCATTTTCTTCGGGTGGGGGGCTCAGGGTGACATCCATATGGGCTTTCGCACCTCGAAAATCAGTCCGTCTGGTGATTCACCTTTTGCAGATTCAAGCCTCGAAAATCCAACGAAACGGCATTTCAGATTTCACCCTTTGCCCTCCACCCAAAGAAAATGCCCACCCCTGTCCTGCCTCCAGAAAACCCGATCCGACCTCGGATCCAAGCTCGGAGGGCCTCTCCGGAGGACCGGGCTCCCTGCTCCCAGCAGCCCCTCCGGGAGCAGCGGCGGAGTGGATGCCCCGGGCGGCGGCCCCTCCCAGAGAGAGCCCGAGAGTGCCAGGGCCCAAACAGCGTGCTCCGCACGGGGAGAGGGGGCCAGCGGTTCCTCCCCCACCCCCCTTCGTTCCCGGCTCCCTCTTCTGCCCCTGCTCCTTTCTCCTCCTTTTCTCTTCCTTTCTCATTTTTTTCTCTCATCCCTCCTCCCTCCTCCCTTCTTTTCCCAGGTCCTCGCCCCCTGCTCCATGCCTCTCTCCTTTCCTCCTTCTAGTTGTCCTCCTTTTCTGTGTCTCCTGCTCATCAAAACCGTCGTGATTAAGAACCGCATTCATCGACGCAAACCAATACCGTGATGCCATCGTCGTTGTCGTTATGACCACCATCCTCATCATCATCGTCATCACCATCGTTCCCAACATCGTCAACATCACCACCATCACCACCACCATCGGCACCACAATCATCATATGCATGATTGCCTTCGCCACCACCGCTAAACGCAGCAGCATTACCATCTTCGTCATCATCCGGATTCGCATCGTTGTCGTCATCTTCGTCGCCATCGTCGACAGCATCCTCAATCCCAGTCAGTCTTTCGCCTAGACATCCGTCATCCCTGCAATCTGTCCCGATGGTGTCTCATAGCCAATGGGCTTCACATAAGACATGGGCAAGAAATGATAATGCCGTGAAATATACAACATATGCAACCCTGAAGGGAGGAGGCAAGCCCGCCAGCCGTCACAGGCGGCCGCGCGCGGGCGCGCTCCTTTTCTGTCACGCGCGAGCCAAACAGCTTCAGGTAACATGCAGGTCACAAGCACCACAATACATGGCAGTGCAACGAAATGTGGGTGAGAAGGGCAGGAACCAGGTGGCGCGGAGGGGTGCGTTGACTCCCCCCGCGGCGGGATGCGCAGAGCCGCCCCGGCCCCCACCCACCAGGCCTGCACGCATGTACAACCAGCGGGGCGAACCCCAAAAGAAAAGTTTTACCGCTCGACGGTTGGTGCCTGGGGGCGGAAGGCCGGAGAAACCCGACGTTTCCCGCCTGAGTTAATATTCTCAGCTCAGGTCTCAATGCCAGTGCACACCTGGTGCATCCGCTCCACGAACTAGTACGACTCAGCACCGACTGCGTCGCGCAGACCCCTGCCATCTTCATCTTCGCCTTCTCCGACGGCCTTTTGACTCCCGAGAGCCCCCCCATTGCCATTCTCTTCTTGTGCTCCAGTCACTTGGTGGGCTCCATTCATATTGTTCATTATTGCCCTGGCCCTTCTCCGATCAACTCGCCCTCGGCGCAGGTGGAGGCGCGGGCACTCGCAAATTTCTGGATGATCCAGAAGATCGGCGGAATTTCTCAATGCACGCATCAAGCCTAAACCATTGCCGCGTTTTGCTGTGACCAGCAACTGACTGATGTCGAGAAAATTGTGCAAAATATCATTGAATCCCTTCAGTTTCACTTTTGTCTTCGCAGTCGACGGTCGCGTCGTAGATGCCGTCCTCGAGCGGCCCAGCGCCATGGCCATCGCGGGAAGATCCGCCACCTGGCGTAACTGCCGGTGTCTGTGGTATATATGTCTCAGTCCTGGGCCCATCCGCCCAGGATCGAACTCTGTCCGATTCAACCCATCCAGTCTCGTGCGCTCACGGGTAGGGAGCAGCACGATGAGATGTCTTCCCTTACGACTTGAGCGGTCTCGGTGGCCGAGAACGTTGCCCAGTTCGCTGCGTGGTAATATTGTCGGCATCTGAAGCCGGGCCACCCGCTGGTGACCCAGCCTGAACCGTCTCAGTAGGAGAATCGGCTGTGCCGTTTCCCGCCCTCATCTTACTAAGGAGATTGTTCCAAAACTTTCAAGCCAGGTATCAAGCAAACCGAATGCTTCGATTGCTGATCAGATTCGACAATCCAAAGCATGAGCATCCCTCAAAGATTGATCAGATACCGGAGTGCGCTGTATTTCCTACCCGGGAAACGCAACAGGAATTCCCGCATACCTGAATAAGAAGATCATCTCGCACACAGCTAAAAGAACCATTCCCCATCTTCCGTGGGCGGGGAAACGGTTGAACGGCTGATCCCAAATCTGGTCTATGAGCTCTCCTAATCCTGGGGGCACTTCATGAATTGCGTCTGAATCCAATTGCCTCGCGTTTGGGTCAATCGTTATATGTTTGAGAATAAACAGCGTTGCAACTCTGATGACATTTGACCTCTCAGATGCGTCGTTGCCATGTTCGCAACCACCCGTACAAACAGAAACAGAAATTTAATCAAGCCAGAAAGGCATGCCCCTATCTGCAAGAATCGTCTTGCGACGCTGTGCAATATATATATGTTGGAAACACCATGCGACCTTTCAGCCTTCTCTTCACGTTGTAAAATCGCATCATCGCTACGGCTTGGCCGGTGATGAAGATCAACAACACTTTGAAAGTCAATATCTCCAAGGGCGGTGACTGCGAATGCTTGGTTAACTGCTCCAAAATTGTCAGTTAATATTTGCACCGTTGGAATGACAACCCCCCTCTCCTGCACTTCTTTCTCCCACTGAGCCCAGCCCACCACTGCTTGTATAAGATCCGCACTAACGTGATCCCAATCGAACACAGCGAGCGCAGAACATTTCATAGGGCGAGCGTATTGGTCAAGATCAGGTGTCAAAATACATGGCCAC